TTTCCCTAAAAGTCACACTCTTCCCCTATTTGCTAAGCTCGCTAATAGCACCACCGGTGGCATCTTGCTAAAGTCTCCAAAACTGAAACCTGCTCGTCATCAGAGTCCTCCCCCTTTCCTTCTGCACACGCCAGGTCCTTGGCTCTCTGGGGCCCACCCTTTCCTGCAGCCTGTCATAGGCGCCGCGTTATTTGGGGCCACTACCGTTTGTCAGGAATATGAGTCCTTCCTGCCTCTGGACTCTTCTTCCTTATATTCATCCTCCAAACTATCAGTCTTTCTAAAACACAAATCTGGTCCTAATAACCCTTCCATCGCATGAGAAACTCTTTAGTGCCTTCCCATCACCTATGGGAAGAAGTCCGATCTCCTCTGGGCCTTATGAGGCTCTCATAACCAAGAATTTGCCTATTTCCACCATGTCATTTCTTACTGCCTGGTTTAAAAGACTCCAGCCGTCACACTGTTGTTGGACCAATGTGCCGTGATGCTTCGTGCTTCTGTATTTGCATTTCTCACTGTCTCAAAAGCCCTAACCCTTCTCATGGCCCTGGTAAATCTTTGAATTCATCCCTCAAGATGCAGCTCGAAGTCATTCTTGGGAAGAGGCTATGACTTTATCCAGCACGGCTACTCAGTTTTTCCTTGGTGCCACTATTACAGTTGGTAACCAGCTCTGTGATACTAACCTCTGTATGTATCACTACAGGCCACCACATTTATATTAAAATGATGTTTACACATCTGCAATCCTAGGAGACAGAGAGCCGTAACTAAGGGTAGCAGTTGTGTCTTATTAATCTTCCTGGCCTCGGGGTCTAGCAGAGGAGTCTGAAACACACTATGCGTTTAAAAACTTTGGAAAAGTCAACTGCATAACACAGAATCATAAAGCCTATGCAAAACCAGTCTGAACTTTATTGTATAGGCAATAAGATCTGTGAGGAGGGTAATACACTGTCACTCAGAGTTTAAGACGTTAACTCAATCAGAAGAGCAGAGAATGGATAAAAATGCTGAAAGGAAGGATTAAAAAAAAAAATTAGTTATAAGGGCGCCAAGAGCAATCAGGTGAGAGAGAAAAGCCTGAACGAAGAGGCAATTTCTGAGACAGTGTTTAGATTTCGATAACTGGCTAGAAACGGAAAGCCACGATTACGGGTGGATGTGGCTGCAGACGAATGGCATCTCTCAATCTCGGGAGCTGCGAGAGCACGGGTGCTGCCGGCTACAGCAGAGAGCACAGAGGAGCAGCTGGCAGGGAGAAGGGATGGCAAAGCTAGTGAACTACTTGACAACGTATGTATTTTGTGCTTTTAAGAATAAAACATAACTAAACAGTTTAACCCAAGTCTCATTTTGCACAAAATATCACAATAAACACTATTAACATAAGAATGCTAAATGGGAACGGGTCGTTCAGGTAGTTATGCTTCACAGTTCCAAGCTGAATCACTCTACCCACAGGTTTGCAATATGGAATCCAATTCACTTATAACACATGATTTGCTAATAAAATTTTCCACAGGAAAATGGCAATTAGACTGACTCACTGTTTCTTCTCCTTGGGAATGAGCTGCCGACAAAAGTCACTCGAATTACTACGCCTTACAGAGTTCCGCCCCTGCAGGGCAGGAAGAAGCTGGGGACAGGGGGATTTGCGGTGGTTCTGGGGTGGGAAGGGCCTGCCTTTAGGACCATTTACCAGGGTGTTCATAAGCCAACCCAGCTCAGTTAGCAGACCCTCTCGGCCCTTTCATGAAGCAGCCCTATAACTGGCCTTTATAATCTGATCTGTTACTACTCACTGGATGATCACTTAAGTTGCTCAGAACGAGGGTAGGGAATGGGGTTGCTATTCACCCCCTCAAAGACCCTGACATTCACTGTGCTGAGAGGGAACATGGAAAACAACATGTTTTAACAAAGAGAAGGATGGACTTGGGGTGGGAAGACACATGGAGGTCAAGACATGTGGCTTGAGGCCTTGAGCTTTACTCGTGGTCAGTGTTCTGATCCTGGCACTGGCCCATCTTTTAAGTCTGTGGCTTGGGCAAGAAAGCTCTTGTCACGGGGTTCTTTGTCCTCAGCAGGTGACTGCATGTTATGGTGGCTTCTTTTAGAGGTGCGGCTGTTTCTAAAAAGGCAGAGGCTTACTTAAGCTTCTGCACAGAGGCAGGCGCTCGTAAACAAAACCAGTTGCCTCTGCTGATGGCTGCGACCAGAGGAGCTTTTAGCAGGTGGTCTGGGACCTTGAACTACATTTAACAAATGTGTGGGGCTTCCCTGGTGGCGCAGTGGTTGAGAGTCTGCCTGCCAATGCAGGGGACACGGGTTCGAGCCCTGGTCTGGGAGGATCCCACATGCCGCGGAGCAACTGGGCCCGTGAGCCACAACTACTGAGCCTGCGCGTCTGGAGCCTGTGCTCTGCAACAAGAGAGGCCGCGACAGTGAGAGCTCCGCACACCGCAATGAAGAGTGGCCCCCACTTGCCACAACTAGAGAAAGCCCCCTCACAGAAACGAAGACCCAACACAGCCAAAAAAAAAAAAAATTAATTAAATTAAAAAATAATAAAAAATATAAATACAATATATCATTAAAAAAACAAAAACAAAAACAAATGTGTGCAGGCAGGCAGAAGCCTCAGCAGACGGCAGCAGAGGCTCGGAAGCAGACACAACTGACGAAATAATTCACTTACAGACTGCAGGGCGAGGGGGATCTAGCGAACTAAGGCACAGGCTTCGGGGTAGGGGCCCAGCTGAGTCCTCAGGAAGTGTGGCCGAGGCAGAGACCAGATATATAGTGTGGAAAGAAGGCATTCCAGGCCTTTTAGGCATCCGGGGTAAATAATCTTTGTTCTGCAAAGATTCTGTCTATCTTACAGAGAACTAAACAGGTTCTAATTACACTGTTTATCCCAGGGTGAGTTAGGCAAACACTAGCACTAGATCTTCTGCCCCAAATTCCACTGTGGACTGAGAGCCACGGAAGGAATGTGGAGGCACTAAACTTGGATTCTTGAGTCTCACTTCATCACATGGGCTCAGGCTGGCTCTTGATTGGTTAATTATATATGAAAGAGAAAGAAAGAGACACAGACAGACAGAGAGAAACTTCCCTTAAGAGGAAGGTTTCCTAGGCCTCAGAAATCCCCTCACAAGAAACAGAAGCAGCAGCTCCTAGCACAGGGCTGAAAGTGCCTGCACGTAGTGTGTGGACCTAGTTACGGACTGCCACCACCGCAAATTCCCAAACCTCGAGAGAAAGCAACTACATCCCAAATGGTTCAAAATACCAAGCTCGGTGTCTTTTCCTCAGAGGTACTCTAAGTGCCTAAGACCAAAATTCTCTTCTTACGGGGAAATTTCTTCCAACCTAATTTAAGTTTCCAAGTGGTGGAGTCAGATGACTGGCACTAAGAGAGAGAGAGAGAAACCAAGATTTTTGCCCTTACTCAGAAATCTTGGCTGTGGCCTTTGATAACACTGGGAAGTGCTGGACTCTGGGAATGTAATTCTGTCTGGGACAACTGCTTTTGGGTTTTGGGGAATTGCTTGCTTTCAAAATTTCATAGGTATGTGGCAAAGGCTGTAATTCTGTTTCCTATGAACTCTTTGGCCTTGTTAAAAGTGAGACTAGGGCTTCCCTGGTGGCGCAGTGGTTGAGAGTCCGCCTGCTGATGCAGGGGTCACGGGTTCGTGCCCCGGTTCGGGAAGATCCCACATGCCGCGGAGCGGCTGGGCCCGTGAGCCATGGCCCGCAGAGCCTGCGTGTCCGGAGCCTGTGCTCCGCAACGGGAGAGGCCACGATAGTGAGAGGCCTGTGTACCGCAAAAAAAAAAAAAGTGAGACTAGATATTGAAGTAAGACTGTAGGTGCTAAACGTCCAGGTTGTAAACTTTACTCAGGTATCAAGACTCCTGTGGTTAAGAACAAGCAGAATAAAAAATTGGGGAAAATGGTTTGGAGGCTTTAATTTTGGACTTTGAAGTTGCTAGTGCAAAATAATTCAATTTTGGGCTTTAAGGTGATTTAATCTGCAATGTTTAAATTCTCCCTGGGTGCGGCTTCCCAGCAGTCCAGTGGTTAGGACTCCGTGCTTCCACTGCAGGGGGCACATGTTCAACCTCTGGTCGGGGAACTGAGATCCCACGTGCCGTGCGGCATGGCCAAAAAAATAAAGTAAACTAAATTCTCCCTGGGAATCTGAAAATGGGTACTCGGGGTGGGGAGGTCTCCATTCAAATTTGAGGCAATTTACATCGCTGGCATCTTATTACTAGAGCATCTGTATGCATTTTACCCTAATGTTGCCATTTCATTTCACTTTCAGAACATCCGACATGCTACATGGGACCGGAGTAGAGGGGCGTGGTTTGCAACGGGAAACAGAACAAGGGGTGAGTTTTCATCTTAGGTTCAGAGTGGACTTGGAGTTTATCCAATTAACACAAAATTCTGATCCATTCCAGAGCCTTCTGGGGGCAAAATTTAAACTACTCATCAGTAGTCCCAAGGGGAAACCCAAAGGAGTGGTGGTTGGTAGTGGGGCAAGCAGGGACTCAAAAAGGTGGGAGAAAAAAAAAAAAAGATGGGAGCATGACTGTCCTGATAACTACTGATCTGCTGAAAAGGACCGTCACAACCCTGCTTGACCACAGGTTCCACGGTAAATCCAGAGGGTTCAGAGAACAAAAGGCTGGGGGAGTATCAGAGGGCAAGGCCTTTGTTCCCTTCTGGGTTTCTGAGAGGACAGACTTTCCTCCTGGTCTCTCTTTCCTGGAGGGAGGAGGGACTTAGTGGATTTATACACTTGGGAAGAGTAACTGAGAAAGCTTGACTTAGCTCTGCCTTTCTTCCTCTCGGGAGCAAGCTGCCAAAGGGGAGCATGTTCCACTGCTTGTCTCAAAGCACTGCCCACCAGAGGGGCCGGTCCAGGTCCAGAACCACTGGGACTGGGTGGGTAGGTCTGTCTAACTCAGGTATCCAGTCGGCTGCCCAGCTGGCTCTCACACCAAGCTATGAGTCTTCCAACTGAGCTTTGATCAGTAAGAGTGGAGATGCTCTGATATCCAAGGATAAAAGAAAAGATTTACTCTTTAGTTAGTGCTCATAAAGAGCTTCCTCTTTCTTATGGAACTCAGGAGCGTACAAATTCACCCTACTTTCTAATGAAATCAAAACCACGGGATGACACCTACCCGAGTCAAGCTCCATGTCAGCGGGCGACGCTGCCAAGCTGCCTTCCTTCTTCTGCTTCTTTGGGCTACTAGGCCTGGGCAGAGATGAAGACCTCTTGCTGCTGGACCTCACACTCGGCTAACGGAGAGCCAAACTGAACACAAGTTAGGCGGCTCCACAAAGAACTGAACCCCATCCCTTCACTTAAATATGATGTAGAAAACCAATCTGGAGCTAAGTCCAGGTAACTGGTGAATGCAGTTACCTTTTTCCTTTGGATTCATCAGAAAACACAGAGTGCTTTATATCCAAAGGGAGAAAAGGCAATAAGATGCCTAATGAGTTACAAAATTCCTCAGATAGGCGCAATGCATTTTTATAAACCACACTCTGAAAATCTATTTACCGCTTGGAAGTTAGAAGTTAGGTAACTGGCAAACACGTCTTTCTGCTGACATGCCTGCATTGGTATGGAACCAAACATCCTCCATTCCTAATGATGAAAAGAGAAGAGAAAAATAAGTATGTATTTGGAAAACGTCATGCTTTGAATAGTCTGCTGACAGGAGGTAAGGTGGAGGTCTCAAATTACATTTCTGCTTCATATGTGACTTTTCCTTTTTGGGGAAATTAATGAAAATAATGGAGCATTGAAGGGGAAAAAAACCCTAACTCTGCCTGAAAAATGATCAGGACTGAACACTAAAAGACTACTTGAAAAAATCGCTTGGCCCAAAAAGGTTCTACCTACTACAAGAAGAGGTTACAGGCAGTAATGACACAGACGCTCATCCGGCCTGGCTGGCTCCCGCCCCCTCCTGACGCACCAGCGCTGTTCATGGGACTGTTAACTGTTCCCTTCTCCTAACTCGCTCACTCATGCTGATTCTTCTATCTTCTGTTCTTTCCCTTTCCAAACTGAGCAATAATCTTTAAGGTTCAACATCACTCGTTTCTCTCTTATCGCCAGTTAACACATTCAACAGTGGTTCTCAATAGAAATCACTTTGGGCTCTTGTGAAACCTATAGATTCCAGGGACTAAGTTAATTCTAAGCAGGGGCAGGGGCGGTGCTCAAGAATGTGCATTTCTAATGCACACCCCAAGGAGATTCTGATGTGGGCTGGTACCTGGACCCACTTCCAGAGGCACTGATGCAACTCAGCCCTTGATTAATTACACACATCTTCGTTACACAGTAACGTTACACACACGTCTTCATTACACAGTACATGCAACTCAGCCCTTGATTAATTACACACGTCTTCGTATCTGTTCACTAGACTGTAAGTTCAGACCTTTGGCTGTTTCTCTAAAGCCCAGTCCCTAAGAACACCTAGAATGCATTTTTATTAAAATACCACCACCACCATCACCACTACTATAGTTAGTTGTTAAAGCCTGAAACGTAAGATGAAAGTTGGGAAAGATTAAGTGTAGCAAACCTTTCTTGTACAGGAGAAATTTTACTTTGGGAAGGGCGTGAAGAGGGAAGAGTAGGAAAAAGTTATAGTAATACTTAGATTTATTAAAGGCAGAAATTTACTTCCCAATTAATTCTGTAAAACTTATAACACTGCTTCAAACCATCCCATATTTTTTTTAAAAAAATCTTTTAATTTTAGAATAGTTTTAGATTTATAGAATCTCACCATTCTATTTTAGCTCCTTTTCTTAGGGCATAAAATTGGAAAAAACTGTGGGCTTTTTTTTCTTTTTGATGAATTCAAGATTTCACTTAATATTCTAATCAGCATAAAGGAAATTAAAAAGTTAAACACAAAAGTAACACATTTACTTCTTTATGGAACAGTAATCGCTACAGAAGCTAACATTTTGAACAATCTACATAAATAATGTCACATCCCAGAAGAATAAAAAACCAACACACTTACATCTGGAATTCCTCTGGGAGTAGATATATTAAAACCTGGATAGTTTACCAATTTCGAGAGATCGTAAGTGACACTTTTATTTTGTGGTACTTCTCCAGCTTCTGTTTCTCCATCAGCACCATCTATCACAGACCATCAAAAAGCTTCATATTGCTAGATGCCCATATAAATCCCTCTCCAGACCAAAAGCAGACCTGGAAAGTGCTTAGATTCACGACCACAGAATTATTCCGAGAATAGCTTTCATTATAATTTGTCTGAACCATTAGATTAGAATTTTTAAACAACATGGACATATTATTTGGACAAAAATAAACATTTAAAGTCTTGGAAACTTTAGTTCTTCCATGAGTTATCTGAAAAGTCTGTTTTGCACTGGTCTTATGATTTGCCTAATCCTCTATTCCAATTCTTTATTTAATAAACATTTATATAATGGTTACTGTGTATGAGCTAGTGTTTTCTTTTCAGATAGTGCTTTAAACAGTTTACAAGTATTCATTCTCTTAATCTTCATAACAACCCTAAGAGGTACATACTATTAAAACCACTTTACAGATGAGAATAGTCTTTGAAGGAGACTTGGGAACCACTTCATTATTTTGAAAAGTACTAAATAAATCGAACATTTTATTTTGCTAGTCCCATGTCTATATACCTAAGGAAAACAAACAGTTGATGAGAAGTTTCTCTTTATATAAGTTTACAGGATAAGAAGCCAAGTAATGAAAAAATAAGAATATAACCAGTGTGTCACCCATCATTAACAGATAGATACAGGCAGTGATCACCAATGACTGATTCCACTACAATTCACAGGAAACAGAGGGACAGAGAAACATGCTAAAATAACACCATGGGGATGCACCAGCAAAATCTCGAAAACTCAAAAGGACAAAATATAGAGTTTTGTTAAAAACAAGAAAGGGAACTTACAGATTAAAAGAGATTTAAGAGGCTCTCAATGATCTACAATCTTTTGTCCAAAGAATACCTATTCAAACAAATAAAGAGAGAGAGAGAGAGAGAGAGAGAGAGAAGAGACAGAGAGAGAGAGAGAGAGAGAGAAAACACAGAAATGCAAGCACCTACAGAGTGGCAGGAGCAATGATAATCTGAATGTCAGCAAGACTTGGGGATATATTAAAAGGCTGTGCTGGGGTTTCCCTGGTGGCACAGTGGTTAAGAATCCACCTGCTAATGCAGGGGACAAGGGTTCGAGCCCTGGTCCGGGAAGATCCCACATGCCGCAGAGCAACTAAGCCCGTGCGACACAACTACTGAGCCTGCGCTCTAGAGCCTGCGAGCCACAACTGCTGAGCCCGCAAGCCACAACTACTGAAGCCTGCGTGCCTAGAACCTGTGCTCCACAACAAGAGAAGCCACCGCAATGAGAAGTCCACGCACCGCAACGAAGAGTAGCCCCCGTTTGCCACAACTAGAGAAAGCCCACACACAGCAACGAAGACCCAATGCAGCCAAAAATAAAAAAATAAAATTTAAATAAAATTTTTTAAAAAAAGGCTGTGCTAAATATTCTTTGGTACTACTTGAGGTGGGGGGGGTTGGTAAATTTTTATTTAGTTTTTATTTAATTAATTAATTAATTTATTTTGGCTGTGCTGTGCGGCATGTGGGACCTTAGTTCCCTGACCAGGGATCGAACCTGCACCCACTGCAGTGGAAGTGCAGAGTCTTAACCCTGACTGCCAGGGAAGTCCCTAATTTTTTTATTTTTATTTTTAATTACCTAAGTAATATCTAGAAACACTCTCATTTTTTAAAAATGTAGAGCATTAGAGATAATACTAAAATCTTAAGCCCAATCCTGTTTTCCTTCTCAGGGATAACCACTGTTGAGTTTGCTGTATATTGGTTAGGACTTTAAAAATTTTTATATAAAAAGTTATTTACTGGGGCTTCCCTGGTGGCGCAGTGGTTGAGAGTCCGCCTGCTGATGCAGGGGACACGGGTTCATGCCCCGGTCCAGGAAGATCCCACATGCCGCGGAGCGGCTGGGCCTGTGGGCCATGGCCGCTGAGCCTGCGCGTCTGGAGCCTGTGCCCCACAATGGGAGAGGCCACAACAGTGAGAGGCCCGCGTACCGCAAAAAAAGAAAAAAGTTATTTACTATCTACCAGATGCCAGGCACTGTGCTACATGATAAATAAATAGATACAAATTGTGACAGGGCATGAAGAAAACAAACAGGGTTAAGTGATAAAGACTGGAAGAACAGGTGGGTAAACATGGGAGAGACACCTTTAAATAAAGTGGCCAGGGAAGGCCTCTATGAGTCCAAACCCTGAAATCTAGGTGGTTCTTGGTTAAGATCTTTCAAAAATATCTTTTACAAACATAACTCTTCATAGAAAATATAGAGCATTGTTTCATCTGTGTGAGTTTTTTTTTTTAATTTAAGATCAATGGTATCATAATATGTAAGTCATCCAGAAACTTGCCTTCTAAACTCAGTATTGCATAGGGATTTTGCCACATTAGCTCCATGGATTTACTCCATTTTTAAAAATACTGCAGGGATTCCACCCCCCAGATCTACCACGGTTTACTTAGCCATTCTCCTTTAGGGCCTTAATGTTGTTTTTAATTTTTCACTATCATAGTCAATGTTAAAAAGTATCTTTATATACATACATTTCCTTGTGCGCGTGTGTGAATATTTTTCTAGAGGAGGTACCTAAGAGAAGTTCTAGATCATAGGAGGGTTTATTTATTCTAATTTTTATAGGTCTCCTGGCAGAGATGGATATATTTCTGTTACCATTACTGAGAAAGGCGAGAGCTTATGAGGTCTAGCTGGAGAACCAATACCTTGCTAGGTAGTCACTAGGCAAGTCCAGATAACCATCTGATAACTCTCAATGAAGTTTTAGTTCCTTCCTTGTAAAACAAGGGAAACACCATCAAGATGTTTTTTAGTTAACTCAGCACACACTAAATAAGCCAGCCATTCCCACCCTATTTTACTGTGATTCTTTAATTAAAAAAAAAAAAAAAAAGAAAGAAAAAGATAGAACACTTAAGCTGACTTATCTAACTGAACATACTATACCTTTTCCATCATAGAGGGCAAGCCCTGAGGTCTCTAGTTCGGCCTCTTTGAGCCAGCCTGGTGGGTATCCTAGCTGGCGCATTCGATATATAAAAGGTGGAAGACTCTTGTCCGTCACACCCAGCGCATCCTGAAGCTCCTCACTGAGTAAAAATAAAAGAGGAAGAAAAATACTGTATTCTTGTTTGGATGAAAATACACACTGGTCTGATACTTTAAAACTCTTCTATGTCTTATATTACACGCCTGTGGCACGGTGCCTATCAAACACATAGTTAAAATTCCAATAAATGTTTTTGGATTAGTTGATGTACATTATGTAGAGCCTTGCTAGAGAACACTTATATCTTGATTATTACCCTGAAGGTCCACAGAACGTTCCAAATAGTGGGGAAGCAGAAATGACATTCTATGGTAAAATGACAGAGGTACCTAATAACTCCTGGCTTGAATCTTCCAAATCTTTCTTCTATTTCTTCTGCATGGTATCGCTGCTGAAAATTCTGATTGCTTGTCTCACCACAGGCATCCATATACTCTTTTCTCTTCTCACTTATTCGAGCAGCATTCCGAGGCTAAATCATAACGTGTTTGGAAAGAAGTTTAGAAATATTTCAGAAATTAAATAAATATAAGCACTTTTTCTAGGTCAAGCACACAGATTATTTCAGTTTTAATGCATAAGGGACAGGTATAAAAGAGAGTGGATACTTTAGAAAAATAAGCAAAGAAGAGAAGCAGTCCTTTAGTTTCGTTTAATTACCTTGGTACTATCATAACATAAAATAAAGTTTTGAAAATAAGTTGTCTAAAAATGAACCCTCATAATGTTTTATTCATCTCAAATACAGAGTACTGTAATAAATTTTTTTTTTAAATCTAATATCTTTAAAACTTACATATAAATTTGGAAAGATTTCAAAATCAAGGACTATGGGAAAGACAGGAAGTTTCTTCACATCACACAATGCCACAGATGTACTGAAAACATTAGAAAGCTCTGGTTCAAAGATTTTTTTTTATATGAGAAAAATTTACCATTGGGCAATCTTTCATTTGATGCTCTTCAGAACCACAATTGAAACAGTGAGGCTTTGGCCTATTTGGTCAAAAAACAAAGATTTTCATAATGTAAATAGAAATATAAAAGCAAATCAACAAAATTCTGTATGACAGCAACGTGTATCAGAGACAAGAAAGCATGTAGATCGCAATTATTATCTGCAAAAATGAGTACACTTTCACTTCTTGTGCTTAGTGATTTAAACAAACAGTACTTTTGACCAAGTCTTTTAACCAAGAACCCTTGTGTTCCCGACTGATCTGTTACCTCTGAGTTTTGTCAGTGGCTAATAATAGAAGAACCAAGGCAAACAGATTATCATATTTTCCTATAGGTAACTTGGAAAGGGGTAGATGGTTATAAGACAGCAATCAAACTGACAGCAGTAATTATACCTTTCCACCCACCCAGGCACATCAGGAGTGAACCAATGAATTCCAATATGACTGACTTAAACATTTAACATGTCTATATATTGAAATTCTAGTTTAATCTGTTTATTTATCATAAGCTAGCAATAAAGAATATTAACTTTTCAAGCTAAAAGAGTTCATGGTTTTGGTTAAAAAAGAAGAAGAAAACAAAAGCAACTCCCCACACAAACCTTTTTGCCTTTACTTGTATTTCTTGCCCTTCTAGAGAAACAATGTGGCTGAAGACTTGCTGGTACCTTTAGTGAGTTTTATTAAGGAATAGTTATCATAGTCTGCAAAATTTAGTTTTTTTTTTTTTAAAGGTGAACTTAATGGCAAGATGTATAAAGATCTTCATTCACTATGTAGGATACTTGGGTATTTCCCATCCTTCCGTAAGCTGAGGGTTTTCATTTAGTAGCGGTTGCCCCAATTTATCAAGGCAAAAATTAGTAAAATACAGGACACTTCCTACAACCTGCAGAAAACAAGTCAAAAAATATTGCTATTTAAGCAGAAAAAAAAAAGACATTAAATAATGTAAGACTACGATTAATTGTTTTAACAATTTATTTCTGGATGAAATTATTAGAAATAATAATCAACTCCCTAGTTAAAGGAGCCACATTCTGACGTGTAAGTAAGATCTCCATCACTGAATTCCCCTCTGTTGCCTAGATCACTGAATTTTTCCTGTTGGATCACTACTATCAGTTGCACTTTCTCCAGACTTAAAAAATAAAAACTTTTCAACAACTCTTATATTCCCTCCCATTTCCCATTTCTTTGCTTCCTTTTGCAGCAAGATCCTCAGACAGTTGTCTGTATCTATATAGTCATTGTTTCCACTGCCTTTCCTCCCAATCACTCTTTTCCTTTCCTTCCAATTTTTGGGAACAATTTCCTACAGAAATGTTGAAAAAAATGGTACAAGGAACACCCATGTACCCTCCATCTAGATTCGACAATTGTTAACTGACATTTTTGTGTGCACATCTCTACACACACACACACACACACACACACACACACACACACACACACACAAATACACACACACACTCACTTTTTACTGAGCCATTTTTAAAAAGTAAGTCGACACCACTATCATCTTAGTCTAAGTCACTATTTTCTCCACCTTGAGATGAATACAATAACTTCCTGCCCGGGTTCTAGCTTCCACACATAACCAGCTACAGACTCTATTCATGACACTGCACCCCTGAATACTTCAGTATGAGCCTTCTAAGAATAAGAACAGTCTACAAATCACAATACCACTGTCATGTTTAAGAAAATTACTAACGCCTTAAAATCATCTATATCCAATCTATTTTCAGTTTTCCACAATTTTAAAGATATGGGGGTGCTGGGATGATGAAGAGCCCATAGATCTTACTGAAAAGATTTACAAGGTATGTACACATCTCCACAAATGTGATAAAGGCTGATATCTGCAAAGGTATGGTTTTAGGTCACCCTGTAAATGTCAAGTGGAAGCACTAGGACCAGCGATTGGATTGAGTACAAGAAGCACATTTCAGCTCAACGTTTTAGAGAGTGGAAATTTCTGTCTCAGGTGTGAAGAATGAAGTGGTTTGTCTCATTTTTTAAAAAAGTGAATTCCAAGTTACTGGAAAGACTCAAAAAAAAGAGCAAAATGCTCTAAGGGCACTTTAAAGAAAGATTCCTGAATTTGAATTAGATAACTTCATTTCCCTTTTAAACTCTAAGGTTCTGGGATTTAAAGTGGCACCTGCCTGGAAATGGGGGATTTTGCACTTATTAATTTAGTCTAAATTGTGGTACATCAATGGGACACAATACTCCATGAACATGAAAACTAGTCTTCCTTTAATGGAATCCAGGATTACAACATCTTCTTTAAAAATTTTTAAGTTGCAAAATCACACCACTACACTGCACTGACACTGCTGAATTTTGCATAGGTATTGAAAGGGCTAAATGTAGGTTCATCCCTGTAAATCGTCTTCTGTTTTTCACCCACTATTGGAGTCTGTCCACATTTAAAATTTCCTATCTGCCACCTGTTATATTAGCTATATATCCCTCTCAGCTTCACCCATCTCTAAGTTCCACAAGCATGCTTTCTATATCTTCATCCAAGTTCTTAAAAATGAGTAGAGGTGGCAGAGAGGGATGAATAGGTGGAATAAAGAGAATTTTTAGGGCAGTGAAACTACTCTGTATGACAGTCTCATGGTAGATGCATATTATTATAAATTTGTGCAAACTCACAGAATGTACACCACCAAGAATGAACCTTAAGGTAAAGCATGGACTCTGGGTGATAATGATGTGTCAATGTAGGTTCATCAATTGCAACAAATGAACCACCTGGTAGGGGCTGTGGATAGTGGGGGAGGCTGTGAATGTCTGGGGGCAGAGGATACATGGCAAATCTCTGCACCTTCCACTCCATTTTTCAGTGAACATAAAACTGCTCTAAAAAACAACAATCTATTAAAAAAAGAAAAAGAAAGAAAGGAAAGAAGATGAACAGAGAGGATAGTCAACAGAAAAATAAAGTCCTCCAAAGTATATCTATTGTGCCCCCAGGCCACAATGAAATAGTTATTAAAAAGCAAACTATGGTATTTAGAGGCTGAAGCCTACAATTGTTTACAACAAATTTAACGAAAGGATGTGTGATCGTCTGACGACATATGCCTATACCACTTTATCATTTAAATGTCACCCAATGGACATAGGATAGGAAACATATCTGCAGAATTCAAAACTTAAATGTCCAAACTTACACTAAAAGCTTCCTTATTGTTAACAGCACTGGATTCTTCCACTTTATGATCCTCTTCTAGCATAACACTGGAAGGCTAACACAAAGAGAAACACACATTACAAAAGGTAACCAATTTTTAACAACTTTCAATTTCAAGTATTAGCCATCTGAACACACTCACTTTATTTTCTAATACATACCATTAAGGTATATAAAATTTTGAATTCATTGTTGTCACAATTAGGGTGAGTTGAGAAGTTAAGCTAGGTAGGAATGTTTATGAAAGAAATCTCCCAAGTGGGAAAGTTAAAAAGATATATAAAAGATAGTATCTTCTGGAACATTAGCATACACTATGACTTTTTTTTAAAATTATTTTTACACTATGATTTTTGTGTTAACAAATATTAATCATGGAACTTTCAACACTTAAACTGACAAGACAGACTTTACCTTGAAATCAGATAATCAAAGATTAAAATAATATATAACTTGATATTACTGGTCAATACTGATATTACAACCCTTACAGACCTCAAGCCACTACAAAATTCTGAAGTGTTTCCTGAATCAAATATTAAATAATATTCAATGTTTTTTTTTCAGTATGGTTTTTATTGTTAAATGTATTTTGTTCCGTGAATCTTTAAAAATTATATCTGATAGGTGAAAACTAAAGGTGATAAACAAAAAATTTAATTAATTAGAATACTCCATTCTCCAACCTCTGAGGCTAAACAGCTAAAGATCCTTATTTGAGAGACTCTACTTACCTTAATTTTTAATTAAAAAAAAAGCCCAGAAATCATAATTCTGATTTTCTTAAGGTAAACTCATGCCCTAATATTCGGAGTGGAATCTCTCAGATTTCTTTGGGTATGCTGTTGATTTTTAAAACAAGTAGAAGGGAAAGAAAGGATGGCATATGAACCTGTTCATTTTAGATAAAAAGAATCCATCTTTTATAAACCCCAGAAACAGAGATTTTTTTTTCTGACCTAAAATTAATTTTCTGCCCCAAACCCCATGTCCAAGTCAGGGAATGGAAAATAAAAAGGCTTCAGTTTTGGGTGCAGCCAGGTGTGAATATGACTCCCTGAGAAAAGCACCCGTGATCCAAAAGAAAGCCCTGTGGCTGCGCTGGTCAGACTGTGGAGAAGGAAGCCCGGCTACAGGATGGGAGGTGAACAGTCAATCTCAACAGTCATTCTGGTTTTGATTCAAGAGGATCCCCAGAGCCTCACAATTGGCAGTGAAAAGCATAAGCTACTAATCTTAAAGTCTCTTAAGTTTGAAATACCTGGGGCAAAAGATTAAAGGAAGTCTTTTCCACATCATTTTTCTGCTGTTCCTCAAATCTTTTTACTAAATTTGATACAAATTCCTCTATTTCTTGATGATATTGCCTGCATAAGAGGACAAAATGGTCAGAACCCAGACAGAATAAAACATTGACTTTATTGAGTTTTATGTATTTTTAAAAGATGTCATGTGTAAATTTTGTTATTTTGTTTTTCAGAGTTTATCAAATCGCTGACTCTTTGTAACACTCAGGAATCTATTCCTTAGGAAAAATATACACATTGTTGTCAAGTTAATAAAATGATTACAATAACCTAACACAGTGCCTACGATGTAACAGCTGGCAAATACTTATGCAAAGACTAAATGGATTTTATTTATAAATTTTATATACTTAATTTTTGAATATATAATACATGTAAATGGTTCAAAATTCAAAAGAACTAAAAGGGTGAGTTACATAACGAAAAGCTCCCTTCCTACCCTGTCTCTCAGCCCCTTATTTCTGCAACACAGAGATAATCAATGCATTCAGCTCTCCCACATCCTCCTCCCAGACACCCTCTCTGCACATATAAGGAAACACCTATGTAAATATTACACTGGAGAAAAAAAGACCAAAATGCAATGCAAGAAAAACGACTGAGGTCTATTTTCCCCAGCTTTCCAGGTCAAGAACCACGTTCATCAAATATTCTTCAGTGCTCGGCTCAGGAGGGGCCAAAAGAGACAACCTCCTCTTTACAGATTTGATCCTTCAGGTCCCGTTAGCTCTGACATTGTAAGATTTCTGCAGGCACAACGCCAGGTGAGCAGTGCAGATGTTAAGACTGCCAAGGGATTGGGTTAGAGGCCGATTCGGACAGTGACAGCGGTGCTGGAGCCCTGCGTGCCCAGCACCGTGCTGCTCCTGTGCTCACCACAGGCTGCTCCACCCTCCCGGAGCCTCAGGTTCTGCTTCTGCTGAGCTCAAGTAGCCAACGGACCTGCCACACAGGTAACACCCTATGTACGGTCCCTTTACCTTGCCCGGCGCCTAAGATAACAATATGATTAAGTGACGCCGAAGGGGGCAAGCAGGTGTCTGAAATGTCTATGACCATGCACTGAGGAAGGGACAGGTCAAGGCCTCAAACCATGTCAGAACATTCTAGCAAGCACTGCAGGAATGGACTGGGTCATCCTAGACCCAA